ATGAGCAGATTGTTTAATTGTTTAATTGATTGACTGAATAATTGATTAGAGAATAAGCAGAATGATTGATCGATTAGAGAACTTGCACATTGATTGATTAATTTATTGATTAATTGATTAGACAATGAGCAGATTGATTGTGTGATTGGTTGATCAGTGACTGAGAGGATTGATTGGTTTATCTGAGACTGATTGGAAAAAAAATGATTGATGGATTGATTGATTGATTGATTGACAGGTGAAGAATCTTCAGATGTTCAGTGGAGACCTCAAAGACCTGGCACCACCTGATGCCTTCATACACCAGCTCATCAATTTACCCAGGTGCACATTTAAAATGTGTGTGCGTGCGTGTGCGTGTGTTCAGGTGTGCTCCAGATCTTGACCGAGCTCTTCTCTTGCAGGTATGAGGATCTTCTCCAGGCTCTGCTACTGAAGGAGGAGTTTTTCCCCTCAATCACAGTCATGAAAGACGAGCTCTCCGTCATCCTGAGCGCCATTAACGGTGATCTGACAAACACTCTCGCTGTCCAAACACTGTGTTTAAGTGCTATTTGAATGCTGAAGAACTGTGTTTTACAGAGCTGCTGAACTGTGAGGAGCTCCACACTGTCCTGCATTTAGTGCTGCAAGCTGGAAACGTCATGAATGCTGTAAGTCACAACTCACATTTACACTTTAAATGGTAGAGAGGTTTATTTGAGCTAGAAGGAGAGACCTATTGTTTTGCCAACAGAGTTATTTACTATGTGCTGGCGGTGTCAATTACAAAGGTGCTTGAAATAAATGGTGCTTTAAAAAGTTCTTGAACATGCTGCTCACAACAAGGTTATAATAGTTTTAGTTCTCATTTAGTTTTCATTAGTTTTAGTGTTTTTTTTGTTTTGTTTACAAATTTAGTTACTTTTAATTAGTTTTTAGAGGGGGATTTGCTACATTTTATTAGTTTTTATATTTTGATATTGGGTGACGCGGTGGCGCAGTAGGTAGTGCTGTCGCCTCACAGCAAGAAGGCCGCAGGTTCGAGACTGTGGCTGGGTCAGTGGGCGTTTGTGTGGAGTTTTGCATGTTCTCCCCGTGTTAGAGTGGGTTTCCTCCGGGTGCTCCGGTTTCCCTCACTGTCCAAACACATGCGCTATAGGTGAATTGGGTAGGCTAAATTGTCAGTAGTGTATGTGTGTGAATGAGTGTGTATGGATGTTTCCCAGGGATGGGTTGCAGCTGGAAGGGTATCTGCTGCGTAAAACGTATGCTCGATAAGTTGCTGGTTTGTTCCGCTGTGGTGACCCCTGATTAATAAAGGGACTAAGCTGAAAAGAAAATGAATGAGTGAATTTTGATATTGCTTAGTTTAAGTCTGCTGTCCCCGTGCGGCTGTCATGTCCTTTTGTTGTTATTACAGCGAGTTGCTAGCGACAGCGAGTATGTTAAGAGGCTGAACTTGCAGTTATCGACATCCCATTGAACCATTTGAGATGTCACAACGAGATGTTGTTGGCAAGATGGTGGACATACGCCACTTGTGTACTACAGGTTACGCCCCTAAAGCTGGATTTATACTTTCGGACGAGGCTTTTATACTTGCCGCATTCGCCGTTGTGATATTCGTTAAAACGACGGGGGACGGTCAAAAGAAACTGACTGAAAAGTCAGACGCATAAACAGAGAAGTAGGAAGTTTCTGGAACTACCTCAAATCAATAAATTCATTCAAGATGTTTTAACAAATAGCACGTTCGCCTCACAGCAAGAAGGTCGCTGGGTCGATCCTCGGCTCAGTTGGTGTTTCTGTGTGGAGTTTGCATGTTCTCCCTGCGTTCGCGTGGGTTTCCTCCAGGTGCTCCGGTTTCCCCCACAGTCCAAAGACATGAGGTACAGGTGAATTGGGTAGGCTAAACTGTCCATGGTGTATGAGTGTGTGTGTGTGTGTGTGTGTGTGTATGTGTGGATGTTTCCCAGAGATGGGTTGCGGCTGGAAGGGCATCCGCTGCATAAAAACTTGTTGGATAAGTTGGCGGTTCATTCCGCTGTGGCGACCCCGGATTAATAAAGGCACTAAGCCGACAAGAAAATGAAGGAATGAATGTTTTAACAGATTATTTTTATTATTTTAATAAATTATTTTAATGATTAAGTTTTTTTATAACCATTCAAGATTTTTAAAATAAAATGTTGATGCATTACTTGCTTTTGTTGTATATCTTGGATAGTTTTACCTATTAAAGTTAAACATTAATGAGAGGACAACATCTGTTGCTCTGCAAATATATCTTTTATTATGGCAAGAATAAAAGCAAAATAAAAAAGTACACTTAAGTTACTAAAAAATGCTTCATTTTTTTATATTTAGCCCTCTTCACAATTTGCATATCACTGTCTGGTTCCTTTCCTCTTTTTTTTGCTAAAAAGGCAATAATAGTCCAATTATTCTGACCATTATCACCAATAAAGCCTAGAGAAATGGCAATGAGGTTAAAATATTCCTTTCCAGTTATCAAAGAAATAATTTGTTCCTTAATTATAGATTTGTAACTATTAAATTGTTTTAAATTCAAGATTGTAACATATACATCAGTGTTAAAAATATAAATGGTGGACATATTCAAATACACAAATACATATTCTGTAATAGGCGAGGCAGTGGCGCAGTAGGTAGTGCTGTCGCCTCACAGCAAGAAGGTTGCTGGGTCGAACCTCGGCTAAGTTGGTGTTTCTATGTGGAGTTTGCTTGTTCTCCCTGCCTTCGCGTGGGTTTCCTCCGGGTGCTCCGGTTTCCCCCACAGTCCAAACACATGCGGTACAGGTGAATTGGGTAGGCTGAATTGTCTGTTGTGTGTGTGTGTGTGTGTGTGTGTGTGAATGTGTGTGAATGTGTGTGGATGTTTCCCAGAGATGGGTTGCGGCTGGAAGGGCATGCGCTGCGTAAAAAACTTGCTGGATAAGTTGGCGGTTCATTCCGCATTTATTAATCCCCGGATTAATAAAGGGACTTATCCGACAAGAAAATGAATGAATGAATGAATGAATATTCTGTAATGGTGTACAGGGTCTCCACTGTTGCCATGGCCTCTTATGCTCATCCCTCAGGTTTTTCCAAACCTTTTAACAAAAACTGTCTCCTTTCCCACTGCTGTTGCAGTTTCTAGCCAAGAATTTTTGATCATCTGGTTTAGGCTTGGGCCGTATCCAAATTTTGATACCGTCAAACCTCCTCCCTATTTTACCCCGGTATCCAGTATTACCGTGCATAATAGAAAACAATGATGATGTAAGGCTCAGACAGCGTCACTAAACTGTTGGCTTGTGCCTAAACCATTCAGACACTGAATACCGTATATGCAACCCGGTTCGCGGTCACCTGTTTGTCTTGTATTAGAGATCTGCGCTGGACACTTTCTCATTCACACACACACACACACACACACACAGAGAGAGAGAGAGACACACACAGCTCTACATTCTCTCTCTCGCTCTCATTCACACACACACACACACACAAATTCATTCCCGGACCTCAAGAAATCTGGTCGGCTCCTGCGGTACAGCAGGTGGAATGGGGACCTCTAGTTCGTATTTAACGTCTCCCTTCTCGTTCGGTCGGAACCGGTAATACTGCAAATCTGCAGGTCACTTGGTGCGCGACTTGCAACCTCATCATCTCCCTCTCTCTCCTCCACACTGTCCCGTGATGACAATCACGCACAGGGCCGGAGCAAGCTGAAATACCGCTCTAGGCAGAGCACGATCACGCCGCCCTCAACCCCAATGTGAAATGAAAGTGACCGGTTATGAAAATGAAGTGAGGTGTCGCGGACCTATTTTGGCGCTCTATGCGCGGATAAAACTGAGGACGCGCGGGTGCTGAGGGAGGTGTCGCGGACTGACGGACACCGCTCTCTCTATTCTGTTGCCCTATGCGTGGATATAACTGAGGACGCGCGGGTGCTGAGGGAGGGAGGGAGGTGTCGCGGACACTGCGCTCTTTATTCTGCCGCCCTATGTGCGGATATAACTGAGGACGCGCGGGTGTCATGGACCTCAATTCTGCCGCCCTATGTGCGGATATAACTGAGGACACGCGGGTGCTGATGGGGGTGATGCTGATGCCGCCCTCTCTATTCTATCGTCTATGCGCGAATATATCTAAGAACGCAGGGGAGGTTTCGCGCAGGTGGTAAGGGAGGTGTCGCAGACGCCGCCCTCTCTTTACTGCCGCCCATGGCGGCCGCCTAGGTCGCCTCTATGGACGCGCCGGCCCTGATCACACATACGCATTGGTAGGCATCAAATAAATGATATTTAATATTTAATACTTGTCTCCTATTTAAGTGCATTGTTTTTTATGACGGTATTGAAACTGACACCGTTGCCATTTTTAGATCCCACAGTATACCATATTACCATATTACTGCCCAAGCCTAATCTGGTTATCTCTATGATCAGGGATCATAAAGATGTCTGTTCAGTCGCACTGTTTCAGACAAAATCTCTTCCAAATGATTTACATACAACTCAAATGAAACGCGGCGCCGCGCAAACTGCTCGCTCGAGTCTCAAAAAAAAAAGTTATGCGCTCCACCTGCCGAAATCATGTTGCACACACCCAAGCAAATCTCCGCAAACTCCACAATGACGTCACATTCGTCACGCGCACTCAAACGAACTAGCGGACGCGTCAAATATAAACCAGCTTTAAGGGCCCTTCATGTTACACCCCTGTCTCACAGTCTGCAGACAGACCCTACTCGCCATGGCTGCAGAACTACAGACTCGAGGTGCCGTACGGGTCAAACACCGGGCAGCGCAAAGTAAATAGATTTACAGTCTGCATTAAATACATTTACAAAGATGAAAACGAAAGATGTTTTTTCTGTAATTTTAGTGAGTTTCAGGTTGTTTTGTATGAACACAATACAGTTTCAGTCGCTTTTTTTTTCCTTTATTATTTTTTTAATTTCAGTTCATGAACATTTAAATTGTTCGTTCGTTTTAGTTAACTATAATAACCTTGGTTCATGAAAGAGTGGCAAAACTGTTATTAATAAAGGTGCTTCTCTCTCTCTTTCTCTTTGTCTCAGGGTGGCTCTGCTGGAAATGCTGTGGGCTTCAGACTCTCGTCTCTTCTTTCTCTGGCCGACACTAAAGCCAACAAACCCGGGATGAACCTGCTGCACTTTGTGGCTCTGGTCAGTGTGTCAGCTCTGCTGCTCTATTACATGATAATACAGCAATAAATTCGAGAGTTCACACTTAGCTGATGATTGATTATAAAGCGTGTTTGGCATGCTGTCCCAGGAGAGAGCCCTGAGCTCATAAGATCGTTTGAGCTCAGGGCTCCCTCCTGTTTGCAAGGCGAGAGGGAGTTTAAGCTCAGGTAGATCTGGAGAACTCCCCTGCTGTAGTAGCTAATGAACAGATAATGATCACTCTTAAGAGATAACTACTGACTTGGAGCATGTCTATGGTGCTGATTTGGATTAGTCAATTAACCTAAGTTGCATGTTTTTGGACGGTGGGAGGAACCCGGGGGAAACCCACGTGAGCACGGGGAGAACCTATAAACTCTGCACAGCAGCATCAGCTGGCTTGGTAAGGACTAGAACCAGTGACGTTCTTGCTGTGAGGCAACAGTGCTAACCACTGGGCCACCGTGCCACCCATCTAGGAAAAGAGGAGGACTCGGGGTGGAAGGGGGGATTCTTCAAAATGAAGATGGCTGTAATATGGACCTGTGGGTATTTATAGTTGTTCAGGAATCGTCTGATTGGAAAATCATAAATTCAATAATGCGGGACCGGCCGTGATCAATCATAAACACATGATCCTCTCAATATTAGTTCATAAATAAACTTCACCTAAATATCTGTGTGCATCTGGAAGAAGTAAACATGTGCACTGTGTGTGTCTGTGCAGGAAGCTGAGAAGAAAGATCTGCTGCTGTTTCCAGACAAACTTCTGCATGTGCAGCGAGCAGCACGGTGAGAGCAGCACTCCACAATCACTAGCTGTGTTTCCATATAAAGATGCCAATTACATTTATATGCAAAACTGAAATATTGCATGAAACTTTTGTGAATAAAGCAGCATTTCCATCCACAAACGAGAACAGAATCATCACTTCCTGATAAACTTGCTCTAATATAGCTGGAGGAGTGGAGTCTGCTGCACTGTTGGCATTCTCCACTGTGGTGTTTGATCTCCTCTAATAAATGAGCTGCGCCTCAGAAGACCAAGACCAAACACAGTGAACACGGTGAATGTGGTGGCTTCTAGAGGCGTGGGATGGGAGTGCAGAAAGATGCTCAAGACAGTTCTGGAGGGAATAATACTAGGAGAAGAATAATACTGAAGCACTGTGATGACGGATTGACGGAGGGCTGAGGCTTTTTAAATAAGCACAACAACAATTCACATCTGCAGCAATGGAGAGCTGCAAACATGGAGAGCTGCAGACCAACATTAATGACACAAAGAAACACACACACAGATTTATATCTGTCAAATGATCTGGCAGACTCTACAGCACATCTTATTGAAAAAATGTTTATCCTACAATTTTTTATGTGCATTTTCATAATTTATGCATATTTCTTAAAGCATTTTTATATGATATTCCAAAATGTGCATTGAAATAGGCAGATGCAAATATACACCACTGGGTAAAAGTTTGGGGTCAGTTTTATTTTATTTTTTTCATGTTTTTATATTGAAGAAAATTATTCTGTTCATCAAGGCGGCATTTATTAAATGTAAATAAAAAATTATTTAAATTTAAATTGTTAAATATTAATTACAGTTTGAAATAACTGCCTTCTTATTGAATGTAGTTTCAAATAATTACTCCAGTCATTATTGCTTTCATTACTATAACCATTAATAATAATAATAAAAATAATAATACATTTTTTAAATAGTAATAATAACAATAAAATAATATTAATAAGAAATAATAATAATAAAATAATATTAATTTATAAAAATATATATTAATAACAACAATAATAATATTACTAAAAATAATAACAATAATAATAATTAATAAAACAATATTAATAATAATAATAATAATAATGATGATAACAATAATATTTAATATTAGAGTGATTTTTAAAGGAAGATGTGACTGAAGACTGGAGTAATGAAGCTGAAAATTAATCCTTAAAACACTTGAATAAATGATTAAATTAAATTATAATCCACTTTTGAACAGTTATTTAATAGTGCAATAACTATTCACTCTTTGTACTGTGTTTATGATGATAATGCAGCCTTGGTGAGCAGGAGAAGCTGATTTTAAAACATTTACAAATCATACTAACCCCAGACTTTTGACTGGTTGTGTAGCTAATGAGCAACACAGGCTATTTATAAAAAGTAGTTATTTATAATGTCTAATAAATGTATTAATATTGTACAGGAGGTCTGTTCAGATGGTTTATAATGTAACATGAAGCTGATTGTTGTGTTTTAATCCATTGTGTGTGTGTGTGTGTGTGTGTGTGTGTGTGTGTGTGTGTGTGTGTGTGTGTGTGTGTGTGTGTGTGTGTGTGTGTGTGTGTGTGTGTGTGTGTGTGTGTGTGTGTGTGCGTGTGTGTCTAGAGTGTGTGTGGACAGTATTCACACAGACTTTAATTCTCTGAGCCGGAGAGTTCTTCAGCTCCAGCAGATCCTCCACACAGATGAAGAGCTCCAGTCCTTTCTAAAGGTGACCTGTGACCTCTCACCTCTGACTTTGTGTGTAATTTTTAATGTCTACTGGAGCATCCCTGAACCTTTAGCATACTCGTTTCAACATGCTACAGTTTGGTACACACTAATTATGTTTTCCAAAACTATTCAGAATGGATAGTATGTAAATCGGGACGTAATAGTTAGTGTGTGTGTGTGTGTGTGTGTGTGTGTGTGTGTGTGTGTGTGTGTGTGTGTGTGTGTGTGTGTGTGTGTGTTTCAGAGCGCTGCTGAAGCTCTGCAGGATCTGAGCGTCAGTATTGATGAGCTTCAGAGGGAGTCAGACGCTCTTCTTGATTTCTTCTGTGAGGATAAAGACTCCTTCAAGCTGGACGAATGCCTAAGAATATTCCAGAACTTCTGCTCAAAATTCAGAAAAGCAGTTCAGGTCAAATGTTTTTTTTTGTTTTTTTTTCATTGCCGCACTTATTATACTCATTTTTTAATTGTTATACTATATTTTATAAGTATTTAAAATGACTAGTGTATCAGACTTCATCTTTTTTATTCAGTATAGTACTGTACTGTTTGATGTATTAATAATATTTATTGTTTTCTTACTTATTTTTAATATGCATCATCAACTGTTATTGCTTTAACATAATTCTATGTATTTTAATATAATTTATTTACTATTTTTTTCAATAGTATTTATTTACTATTTATATATTTTTTTGTAATTATTTATTGAAAATAATACGTAACGAATGTCTAATATTTATTATCTTTTTTAATTTGAATATTTTTTGTTTAGTTTAGTTTTAATCCGTTTATTTATTTACTTATCGATACCTAACATTCATTAAATATTGAAATATTAGAATTTATATTTATATATATGTCCAGCAAGTTTTTACGCAGCGGATGCCCTTCCAGCCGCAACGAATCTCTGGGAAAATATAAATAAATGCTGCTCAGTTGGCATTTCTGTGTGGAGTTTGCATGTTCTCCCCGTGTTGGCGTGGGTTTTCTCCGGGTGCTCCGGTTTCCCCCACAGTCCAAACACATGCGCTATAGGGGAATTGGGTCAGTTAAATTGTCTGTAGTGTGTGTGAATGAGTGTGTATGGATGTTTCCCAGTAATGGGTTGCAGCTTGAAGGGCATCCACTGCGTAAAACATATGCTGAATAAGTTGGCAGTTCATTCTGCTGTGGCGACCCCACATTAATAAAGGGACTAAGCCGAATAGAAAATGAATGAATTAATCAATAATTATTTATTAGTTTTAATGCAATTTATTTACTTTCAGTGCAGTTTTTTGTTTACATAATTGTTGAAGCTTAATATTTATTTTTATCTAATTATTATTCATACATTTATTTAAATGCAATGTTATTATATATTTTAAAATTATACTTATTAATATACTGTATATTATTTATCATGTAATTATTAAATGCGTTATTTAATCTAATTTAGGTTTTTAAAATGTATTTAAATTTTACATTTTAATTTTATTTTCTTATTTTGATGTTCATTATAGTTATATTATTATATGATCATTGTTTTATTATTGTTTTTTGTTTTTCTTTCTCAAGAGCCAATAGTTGTATTTCTTTACAAACAGAAATATTTCCATATCTATTAAATATTCCAATTAAAATATGTTCTATTTCTGACAATAAATTAAATCCACCCTATTCAGGAGAACGTGGAGCGAGGAATGTGGGAGGAGTCTCGGCGCAGGCGTCTGAGGGAATCTGAGGACAAGCGTCACTCCTGGGCGGGGCATGAAGGAGCAGGCGGGGCTTACGAGTTAAGATCCAGTAGTGAAGCAGATGTGGAGGCGGCTTTAAAGAGGGAGGGGCTTCTGGAGCTTCTCCACAGTCCACTTCTGCGGCCCAGAAACAACCAGCGCTCGAAACAACAGAAGATTGTGAACACACACGAACTTCCTCCAATACACGCGCTCTCTATAACAGACACACAAGTTCAAAACGAAACAAACGCACAGACTCAGGCCAGCGAATGTGAGAGTAGCACAAAAACAGAGGAGGTTGTTGACCACCAGGAGGTGCTCTCCATATCACCGAACACCGACCTCCAAACTACTGAACATACAGAAGTGACTCCAAATATGCTAAGTATCGACGATCAGAATAAAAAAATAAATACGTCTGAACCATTGATTAACATTAAAGAAACACAAACAACCTGCAAACCACCAGCCGCCTCTAAAAACAGAGTGTCTCTTTCTGCTAAATCGTCATTATCTCGTAAATCTGAAACTGCGAACGTGAGAAAGGTCGTTCCTCTCCGTCAGTCCGGTTCTGCTGCGCAAAACAATCGGAATGATCCCCAAAGAAAACAATCAGCTCGCAGCTCACCGGTGGAGAAGATTTGTCGATTAACGATGTTGGGCGCTGCTCAAAATGTGCGCGATTCCACAATCAAACCTCAAAATTTCGCTCGCAACACTATTGCATCCGCGACACGCATCGGAAAACAGTCTTCGATTCCTAATGCGTCTCCATTGATGCGTACGACTTCACTTAGACTCTCACAGGACAACAAAAAACAGGAAATGACAACAGGAAGTGATTGTCTGATGCCCCCTGCTGGACAACATAGGAAAAGCAGAAAAGCTAACGATTCCAGAAACCAATCTTCAGCTCAGAAAGTGTTTCCTTTAACACGTACGGCTTCATTTAAGCTCTCGCAGGTGAACAAACAACAAGAAACGACAACAGGAAGTGATTATCCGATGCCCCCTTCTGGACATCAGTTGAATAGCAGTAACACTGTTGATTCTAGAAAACAGTCTTCGGTTCCTAAAGCGTCTCCACTGATGCGTACGACTTCACTTAGACTCTCGCAGGACAACAAACAACAGAAAACGGCAGCAGGAAGTGTTCATTTGACACCCCCTGCTGGACAAAAGAGGAAAAGCAGGAATGCTAACGATTCTGGAAAGCAACCTTCAGCATATAATGTGCCTCTATTTATGCGCACGACTTCAGTTAGACTCTCACAGGACAACAAGCAACAGGAAACTGCTGGAGGAAGTGTTCATTTGACGCCTCCTGCTGGACAACAGAGGAAAAGTGCAAACTCTGTCGATTCTGTAAACTATTCTTCAGCTTATAAACTGTCTCCATTGACGCGCACCGCTTCGCTCAGAAACACTCTCGATTCTGGAAACCAATCTTCAGCTCCTAAAGTGACTTCACGAATGCGTACAACTTCGCTTAGACTCTTGCAGGACAACAAACAACAGGAAGCCACAGCAAGAGGGGATCATCTGATGCCTCCTGGTGGACACCAGAGGAAGAGCAGAATCACTGTCGATTCTGGAAACCAATCTTCAGCTCATAAGGTGTCTTCATTGGTGCGCGCTGCTTCATTAAGTCTCTCAAATAGGCACCAAGAAACAGCAGCAGCAAGTGGTCATCTGAAACCCCCTGCTGGACAACAGAGGAAAAGCAGAAACACTGTTGGTTCTGGAAACCAATCTTCAGCTCCTAAAATGTCTTAACTGATGCGTACGACTTCCCTTAGACTCTCACAGGTCAACAAGGAAACTGCTGGAGGAAGTGTTCGTCTGACGCCCCCTTCTGGACAACAGAGGAAAAGGAGAAACATTGTTTACCAACTCATAAAGTGACAGACGCTTGCAGATCGACAAACAACCGGAAGCTGTGTAAGAACGTGTTTTTTTAGCGCCCCCTGCTGGACACCAGAGGAACAGCAGCAGCCCAATTTCTGAAAACCGAAAAAGTTTGAGGATCCTGTGATAAAACTCTGATGAAACAGGTCTGGAGGTAGAGAGAGGGGGAAGTGATGGTCTATGTTAGGGATTGGATAAAGTACATCTAGGTGGTCTGGGAACAACATACCTTTGAATGTCGTGACTGGCCAATCAGAATGAAGTATTCTAGACAGTCGTGTGATAGGAATTTATAACACTTAGATTTTAAATTATACTACAGTCCAAAAGTTTGGTCTTTTTCTAATGTCTCTAAAAAGAAACCCTCTTCTTTACTGAGTTTTAATCGAAATACAGTAAATTAGGAAATATTGTAATAACTTAACATTTCAAATTGACTACTCTTTTGTTAAAAACATCCACTGAAATAAACTGCAGTAAAAATGCAGCAGATCAATATTTATTTAACATTTTTTTTTGCATAAATCTGTTAATCAACCTCACTTCTGATCAAAACTACTGAATTGTTTGAATAATTTTAGGATTTTACTCTTTTAAATGTTTTAAATTTTAAATTTTGTAACTGATCTGGTGAAAAACACACAAAATGACGTATTTTCAATGTAAACTGGACTGGATTTTTAAAATATTTTATCATGTGTCTTACAGTCTCACATATTAGTATCAACATCGGCTTTGATGCATTGTTAGATTTTCATTTGTTCTCTCTAATGTTCTGCCGGTGGCTGTTTTAGCCCCATTGACTTCCATTATAAGTACATTTGATGGTGCATAAATACGCAGTCTTTGTTTTTGTTTACTCCATCTAGTTCTGAGAGCTGGGGTCTGTTCTTCGTACATGGATTACTCCGTTAGCTAGAATTGAATACTGACGATTTAACACGATCCAGGATCGTTTCGTTCTTCAAAGCTGATCCGAGAGTTGTTGTCATAGCAACAGTTCTTCTAGCTCAAACCTGATTGGGAGCAGGTTCAATTCATATAAACAGGATTAGATCGGCTTAGTTCAAGCAAAGATAATACAGAAGGTATGCTCCAAATTCTGATATTTTCCTACAGTAGTAGTTATATACACTTGGGAAAATGGTACAAATTTTTTAACTATATATATATAAAGTTATAGTCATTAATAAAATAAATAAAGTTATACATATTAATAAAACTTATGCAATCTGCACCCTCGAAATGAAAGTACAAAGACTGCCACCTGCTGGTGCAAAGAGAAAACTTATTGATATGAACTTTTTTGATCGCTTTAGTACAAATTGTGTATAATAGAAATGCACAATATGTCACTTTTTTTTAAAGCAATAATACATTTATGCAGTCATGAACATGTTTTGATAGTTAATATGGTGGTGATTTGATGCTTCACAAAAGTTGCAGACGCCTTTACCAATATGAAAATGCTTTTGTAAACATCCAGTTATTCTTTACACCGATTAAAAAAACGGCTACTATAATAAAGAAAATCTTCTCTAAATGTGGAACTAAATACACTGATATGCAGTGAAATACATGATGAATACTCTTGACACATGAAAGTGTAAAGCCTGCAGCTCACAACAAATGTGGAAGGTTATTGCGTGTCATATTTAACAAACTGTTTACTGCTAATTTTCTGTAATTTTGCTCACATGGATAATTGAATATTAATCAGATGATGTCATTACGCTGCTGTGCCGTCAGCCAATCATTGCATTGCTGATCATGATTTCGAGGATCGATAGATCTGTCCTTCACAACACACGCAGCGATCCCAGATCAGTTCATCCAGACATTCTAATCTGATTCTCGAACTTGTTTGATTCCAGCAGCAGGGGGCGCTGTTAGTAGCTGAAAGCTGATTCACCCTGCTCTCACTGAACTCTTGGAACTTCTAGTTTATATGATCCTAAAGATCTGAGTGATCTGTTTAGGTTTGTATTCAGTGAGCATATCTGTAATGTGTTGAGCTCATAGGCCATTTAGTGATTTATAGAGCAGTAATAATACTTTAATATCTATTCTGAATGTAACTGGGAGCCAGTGTAAAGACCTGAGGACAGGTGTGATGTGCTCTGATTGTCTGGTTCTAATCAGAATCCTGGCCGCAGCGTTCTGGATGATCTGCAAAGATACTTTGATGTCTTTGACTATACAAGCATGAGCTGGAAACAAAGAGACAATCGGTTCCACACCGGACCAGGTGGGAATGCGGGAAACATAATCTTATCAATGTTTTATAAATGGAGTCAGATAAAATGAGGATAAATATATTGGTGACACTTTACAATAAGGTTCATTAGTTAATGCATTTACTAACTTGAACTAATCATCATGAACAACACATGTACAGCATTTATTAATCATAATTGAACATTTACTAATGCATTATTAACATCCAACTCCATGCTTGTTAACATTAGTTAATGCACCATGAGTTAACATGAACTAACAATGAACTACTGTATTTCCTTTAACTAACGTTAACTAACATGAACAAATACAGTAGTAAATGTATTGTTCATTGTTTGTTCATGTTTAATTAACATTAACTAATGAACATTATTGTAAAGTGTGACCAATATATTAATATTCTAAACCACCTCATACTAAAATTGGAGACACATATAGGTTAAATTTAAAGTAAATCAACATTGTGCAAAGGGCATTGCCCACAGGGAAAACCAGCAACAATCAAAAATACATGCTTAATATGGTGTCATGGTTTTGTAATCAAAAAATGTGTTTAGAATCAAATATGCGCATCAGCTCTCAGAACTAGATGGAGTAAACAAAAACAAAGACTGCGTATTTATGCACCGTCAAATGTGCTTATAATGGAAGTCAATGGAGCTAAAACAGACACCAGCAGAACATTAGAGAGAACAAATGAAAATCTAAGAATGCATCAAAGCCGATGTTGATTCACATGTGCAAGACTGTGATAAAAGGTTTTAAAAAGTCCAGTTCTCTATTACATTTAATACTGAAATATGTAACTGTGTGTGCTTTTTCACCAAATCAGTGACATCATTTATGAATTTGCCAATTAAAGAGTTAAACTCCTGTAATTTTCTGAGTAGTTCAGTAGTTTTGGTCATTTACAGATTTATGCGATAAAAATGTAACAAATATTAATCTGATGCTTTAATAGAGCAGTTTAATTCAGTGGATGTTTTCATACTGAACATAACTAAGGGCTAGTAAATTTGCCCAGAGTACATCATTGAGTTCTTTAAAAATTCAAAGCATTTTCTCAAAATAAGATTTGTCAAAAAAATCACTCCATTTGCTGAAACAGAGAGAGAGTTATGGCCAAACTAAGAGTCAAAATCACACCAGGGTGGATGAAAATGGCCCAACAGCACACGAGGGCTAAAATACCTGTTTCTATGTAGATATAAAGTGAAATGTATTCCTGTGACTCTACTCTGGACTTTTAAAGTTTCACAGGATCCATAAGAAATCAATATCATGATGATGATTTTTGTTCGTGTTAAAACACACACACACTTGCTGATCCTAATTTTTCTGGAAAGTGTGAAATGAGTTTTTTATTTTTCGGGATTTAAGGATAGAAAGTTTTAAATGGCATGTGTTGTAGCATTATTAATGTATTTATAGTCTCTTGATCAATTTACAAAAACAAGCTCTCACTGATGGGGATGTAATGGTAGAGTAATTATCATGAATATTAACTTCATCATCTTTTATTATGTATAAAATTGTTCAGTTGTGTTTTATTTTGTATATAGAAATAACCTGAGTTACTGAATTAAGAATAATGTGACTGTACACGTGAATAAAATTATTTTATACTTAATAGTTGGAAAATATATATTCAATTCAATTCAGCTTTATTTGTATAGCGCTTTTACAATGTAGATTGTGTTAAAGCAGCTTCACATAAATGGTCATAGTAACTGGAACAGTGTGGTTCAGGTTTTAGTGTTTAAGTTCAGTTCAGTTCAGTTTAGCTCAGTTCAGTGTGATTTAATCATTACTGAGAGTTCAAACACTGAAGAGCAAATTCATCGATGCGTAGCTCTACCAATCCTGAACCATGCGAGGCAGTGGCGACAGCGGAGAGGGAAAAAAGCTTCAGCAAAAGGAGAGTGAAGAAAAAAACCTTGTGAAAAACCGGACTCACTTCGGCACGACCATTTTAATTTCTCCGCTGGCCAAAAGTCTTGTGCAGAACTGCAGTCTCAGCGGTGGAGGCTGGAAGCTATCCTCAGCGAAGACTCGTCTGTCCCTGGAGCGTCACTGGAATCTCATTCTCTCCACTTCCCTATGACCACCAGCGCAGCAGCAGCTCAGTCAGGATACAGCCGGGTCCCAGATATGGACACCTTGGGATCATCTCGTCGCTGGTATATATACTGATGAACTGTTATGTCTTCCTTTTAAAGTAATCTGTGCAACATGACCAACATTCATTTTAACATTTTCAACATTCAACATTCATTCTCCTTTGGCTGACTCCCTTTATTTTTAAGGGGTCGCCACAGCAGAATGAACCGCCAACTATTCCAGCATGTGTTTTACACAGCGGATTCCTATCCAGCTGAAACTCAATACTGGGAAACACCCATACACACTCATTTACACACACACACACACATACACTACGGCTAATTTAGTTTATCAATTCCCCTATAGGGCACGTGTTTGGACTGTGGGGGAAACAGGAGCACCCTGAGAAAACCCACGCCAACACGAGGAGAACATGCAAACTCCACACAGAAACACTAACTGACCCAGCCAATACTTGAACCTGTGGCCTTCTTGCTGTGAGGCCACAGCGCTAAACACTGAGCCACCGTGCCACCCACATTTTAAACTGCACTGCTTAAATTGTACACTTACTAGCAAACACATACACCTACCGGCCATTTTATTAGGTACACCTTACAAGTTAGGTTGGACTCCCTTTTGCCTTCAGAACTGCCTTAATCCTTCGTGGTTTGGAGGTACTGGAAATATTCCTCAGAGATTTTGCTCCATATTGTCATGATAGCATCACACAGTTGCTGCAGATTTGTCGGCTGCACATCCATGATGCCAATCTCCCGTTCCACCACATCCCAAAGCTGCTCTATTGGATTGAGCTCTGGTGACTGTGGAGGTCATTTGAGTACAGTGAACTCATCGTCATGTTCAAGAAACCAGTCTGAGATGATTGAGCTTTATGACATGCTGCGTTATCCTGCTGCAGCAACAACCATGCCACGTTCAAAGTCTCTTAAATCCCCTTTCTTCCCCATTCTGATGCTCGCTTTGAACTGCAGCAGATCCTCTTGACCATGTCTACATGCCTAAATGCAGTGAGCTGCTGCCATGTGATTGGCTGATTAGAAATTTACGTTAACAAGCAGTTGGACAGGTGTACCTAATAAAGTGGCCGGCGAGTGTATATATAATAGTAGTATTAATGTTGCTAAATGCACCACAAAATAGACTAAATCACATTATATTTACTAGTTTAGCAAATGCTTTAATCCAAATTGGGAGATTCTCCACAACAGATTCATCTTAACTGTTGAAAAGTAAAACTGAACAGGACAACATGGATTGTTTCTGTTTAATATTCATGCATCTTTTGTCAAGAATGAGTCAGTGATGGATATTTGAGCATAATTTATAAATGATTAATATTTGCTGCAGGGCGTTCAGAAGTTAAAGTGAAATGAGCCCAGACACAACATGTAACATCACAACATCTCAGCACTCTGTGTGTTTTTGCGTGCATGCATATGTGCTTGTGTGTGTGTGTGCATATGTGTGTGTTTTTCTATGTGTGCATGCATATCTGTATTTGTGTGTGCATGGATGTGTGTTAATTCATGTGTGTGTGCATGGATGTGTTTGAATGCATGTGTTTGTGTGCGCGTGCATATGTGTGTACATGCATACGTGTGTGTATGTGTATACATATATGTGTGTGTTTTTATATGCGTGTATGTGTGCATGCATATGTGTGTGTGCTTGTCTATGTCAGTATGTGTGCATGCATATATGCTTGTGTGTGTGTGTGTGTGTGTGTGTGTGTATGTGTATGTGTATGCGTATGTGTTTGTGTGCATGCATGTGTGCTTGTGTGTGTGTGTGTGTGTGTGTGTGTGTGTGTGTGTGTGTGTGTGTGTGTGTGTGTGTGTGTGTGTGTGCATGCATATGTGCTTGTGTGTGTGTGTGTGTGTGTGTGTGTGCATGCATGTGTTTGTGTGCATGCAATTGTGTGTGTTTGTGTATGTGCAATGCATATGTGTGTACCTGTCTATGTCAGTAGTATGTGTGCATGCATATGTGTGTTTGTGTGTGCGCATACATATGTGTTTGTGTATGTGTGCATGCTTTTGTGTCTATGCGTGCGTGCATATGTGTGTCTGTTTGTGTGTGCAAGCATATTCGTGTGTTTGTGTATGTGTGCATGCTTATTTGTGTTTGTCTATGTGTGTATGTGTGCATGCATATGTTTGTATGTGCATGCATCTGTGTATGTGTGTGTGTATTGTGTCAGATGGCCGAGGCTGCAGCTTTACAGATGTATCTGTAGTGTCGAGAGCAGTGGTCGTCATTATAGCGTCCGTCATGGTGAAAGTGAGCGCAGTCTTCACCTCCTCCCAAACCATGAGCCTTCCAGTTATCCGGCTGACCAGGCCTCCATTCACTGAACACACACACACACATACACATACACAGGTGAGAAACACACCGCTGTGAATGAGAAACAGACTCACACACACACACACACTCACCTCCTGACCATCTCGTACGGCGTCTCATCCAGCCATTCCCACTCACCCGTCCGGCCGTCAGTCAAACCCAACCAGTAGAAGAGAGGCTTGGTCTTGCTGACCACGAAACTCTGAACACACACACGCGCACATACATACATATGCACACACACTTTAGGACTCTTAACGAGAGGATTCATTCATTCATTTTCTTTTCGGCTTAGTCCCTTTATTAATCAGGGGTCACCACAGCGCAATGAACTGCCAACTTATCCAGCATATGTTTTACACAGCCGATGCCCTTCCAGCTGCAACCTATCAGTGGGAAACACCCATGCACACTCATTCACACACATACACTAAGGACAATTTAGTCTACCCAATTCCCCTATAGCGCATGTGTTTGGTCTGTGGGGGAAACCGGAGCACTCAGAGGAAACCCATGCCAACACGGGGAGAACATGCAAACTCCACACAGAAATGCCAACTGACCCAGTGGCCTTCTAGCAGTGAGGCAAACGTGCTACCCACTGCGCCACCGTGCAGCCCTTAACTAGAGGATGCACACTTCTATTCAGTTTCAATCAACCTGGCCAATTGGTTTGGTGGTGTTGGTTTAGTTGTGTTTGGTGGGGGATTAGTAGTGTTGGTTTAGTTTGATTAGTAGTGTTGGGTTGGTTGGATTAGTTGTGTTGATTTAGCTGTGTTTGGTGGATTAGTTTTGTTGATTTAGTTAACTTAGTTGTGATTGGATTAGTAGTGTTGGTTTAGTTGTGTTTGTTTAGTAGTGCTGGTTTAGTTGGTTTAGTTGTGTTTGTTTAGTTGTGTTTGATGGTTTGTTGGATTAGTTTTGTTGGTTTAATAGTGTTTGATGGTTTCGTGGATTAGTTTTGTTGATTTAGTTAACTTAGTTGTGGTTGGTTAGTAGTGTTGGTTTAGTTGTGTTGGTTTAGTTGTGTTTGTTTAGTAGTGTTGGTTTAGTTGTGTTGGTTTAGTAGTGTTGGTTTAGTTGTGTTGGTTTAGTTGTGTTGGTTTAGTAGTTTTGGTTTAGTTGTGTTGGTTTAGTTGGTTTAGTTGTGTTTGTTTAGTAGTGTTGGTTTAGTTGTGTTGGTTTAGTTGGTTTAGTTGTGTTTGTTTAGTAGTGTTGGTTTAGTTGTGTTGGTTTAGTAGTGTTGGTTTAGTTGTGTTGGTTTAGTTGCGTTGGTTTAGTTGTGTTGGTTTAGTAGTGTTGGTTTAGTTGTGTTGATTTAGTTGTGTTGGTTTAGTTGTGTTGGTTTAGTAGTGTTTGTTTAGTAGTGTTTGTTTAGTTGTGTTGGTTTAGTTGGTTTAGTTGTGTTTGTTTAGTAGTGTTGGTTTAGTTGTGTTGGTTTAGTAGTGTTGGTTTAGTTGTGTTGGTTTAGTAGTGTTGGTTTAGTAGTGTTGGTTTAGTAGTGTTGGTTTAGTTGTGTTGGTTTAGTTGGTTTAGTTGTGTTTGTTTAGTAGTGTTGGTTTAGTTGTGTTGGTTTAGTTGTGTTGGTTTAGTAGTGTTTGTTTAGTAGTGTTTGTTTAGTTGTGTTGGTTTAGTTGTGTTTGTTTAGTTGTGTTGGTTTAGTTGTGTTTGTTTAGTAGTGTTGGTTTAGTTGTGTTTGTTTAGTAGTGTTGGTTTAGTTGTGTTTGTTTAGTTGTGTTTGTTTAGTAGTGTTGGTTTATTTGTGTTTGTTTAGTTGTGTTTGTTTAGTATTGTTGGTTTAGTTGTGTTTGTTTAGTTGTGTTTGTTTAGTAGTGTTGGTTTAGTTGTGTTGGTTTAGTTGTGTTTGTTTAGTAGTGTTGGTTAAGTTGTGTTGGTTTAGTTGTGTTTGTTTAGTTGTGTTTGTTTAGTAGTGTTGGTTTAGTTGTGTTTGTTTAGTAGTGTTGGTTTAGTAGTGTTGGTTTAGTTGTGTTTGTTTAGTTGTGTTTGTCTAGTGGTGTTGGTTTAGTTGTGTTTGTTTAGTTGTGTTTGTTTAGTAGTGTTGGTTTAGTTGTGTTTGTTTAGTAGTGTTGGTTTAGTTGTGTTGGTTTAGTTGTGTTTGTTTAGTAGTGTTGGTTTAGTTGTGTTTGTTTAGTAGTGTTGGTTTAGTAGTGTTGGTTTAGTTGTGTTTGTTTAGTTGTGTTTGTTTAGTGGTGTTGGTTTAGTTGTGTTTGTTTAGTTGTGTTTGTTTAGTAGTGTTGGTTTAGTTGTGTTTGTTTAGTAGTGTTGGTTTAGTTGTGTTGGTTTAGTTGTGTTTGTTTAGTTGTGTTTGTTTAGTAGTGTTGGTTTAGTTGTGTTTGTTTAGTAGTGTTGGTTTAGTTGTGTTGGTTTAGTTGTGTTTGTTTAGTTGTGTTTGTTTAGTAGTGTTGGTTTAGTTGTGTTTGTTTAGTAGTGTTGGTTTAGTTGTGTTGGTTTAGTTGTGTTTGTTTAGTTGTGTTTGTTTAGTAGTGTTGGTTTAGTTGTGTTTGTTTAGTAGTGTTGGTTTAGTTGTGTTGGTTTAGTTGTGTTGGTTTAGTTGTGTTTGTTTAGTTGTGTTTGTTTAGTAGTGTTGGTTTAGTTGTGTTTGTTTAGTAGTGTTGGTTTAGTTGTGTTGGTTTAGTTGTGTTTGTTTAGTTGTGTTTGTTTAGTAGTGTTGGTTTAGTTGTGTTTGTTTAGTTGTGTTGGTTTAGTTGTGTTTGATGGTTTGGTGGTTTAGTTGTGTTTGTTTAGTTGTGTTTGATGGTTTGGTGAATTAGTTTTGTTGGTTTAGTTGTGTTTGGTGGTTTGGTGGTTTAGTTGTGTTTGATGGTTTGGTGGTTTAGTTGTGTTTGATGGTTTCGTGGATTAGTTTTGTTGTTTTAGTTGTGTTTGGTGGTGGACTAGTAGTGTTTGTTAGATTAATTGTGTTGGTTAAGTTGTGTTGGTTTAGTTGTGTTTGGTGGTTTTGTGTCTTAGTACTAACATTACTAAGTAATGTTGGCTTAGTTGGTTTAGTTGTATTTATTAGTTGTGTTGGTTTAGTTGTTTTTGATGGTTTTGTGGATTAGCTGTGTTGGTTTAATTGTGTTGGTTTAGTTGTGTTTGTTTAGTTGTGTTTGTTTAGTAGTGTTGGTTTAGTTGTGTTGGTTTAGTTGTGTTTGTTTTGTAGTGTTGGTTTAGTTGTGTTTGATGGTTTGGTGGTTTAGTTTTGTTGGTTTAGATGTGTTTGGTGAATTAGTAGTATTGGTTTAGTTGGATTAGTTGTTCTAGTTTAGTTGTGTTTGGTTTAGTTAAGTGGCTTTGTTTGCTAAGTTGTGCTAGTTCAGTTGTGTAGTGTTTAGTTGTGCAGTGTGTATCAGCTCTAACCTTCTCCAGTTTGCTGGTTAGGATCAGTAACTTTGCTCTCTTCCTCTCACACTCGTCTCTGGCTGAGTCCCAGGACATCCCATCAGTAGAGAAGAAATAACAGTTGGAGGAGAACAGGGACCATTGGTCAGGACAGCACAGCTCCTGTGTGTCTGAACACACAAACACACATATGTTGATTTTGGTAAAATTGGTCACTATTTGTGTTTGTTATCCAAACGAGTGACAGCTGGAAGGGCGTGGTAAAGTATGTTAGCCACGCCCAATACTTCAGACAGACATAACAGAAAAGTTTTTTTGTTTAAAGATTACAAACTATTCATTTTGTTCTTAATGACATGCACAATTGAATTGTTGAGCACAAAACTAGCAATGTGAGCTAACAAAGTCAACATGGTTGGTTTTATTTCATGTGGACTTTAATGTAAACAAGCACTTATTGGATGCGTGTTTCATTTTAACTCAGGAGTTGATGAGTGGTTAGGAATGAGTTAATAATAATGTGCCCCTCAAGTAAAGTCACGCCAAAATGATTCATTAACAAGCCAAGTTTAATGTTGGACACGTTTCACTTAATATTAAATTAATTAAAAGTCAGTAAACCCACTGACTGAACTATAATATTAATGCACATAGTTTGTTTACTGATGATGAGGCATCGAGTCTTTGCGAGTGAGGTGAACTATTCGCCTTGTGCAGTGTACAGCATCACTTACTGTTGTTTCTCATCTTGTCGATGTGGCATTTGAGCTCTGAAACTTTGTCATGGAGAGCCTGTGCCGACTCAAGCACTGCAGACACACACATGCGTGATCAGATTAGCAGTCTGTTCCTCTTGTTTTCTGTGTTTTTGTGTGCTGTGCTTACGATTATTCATGGAGGTCTCCGTCATCCTCTGGTCAAACTCCAGACTGCTCACATCCGCATTTATTTTATGTCCTGAACACACACACACACACACACACACACACACACACAAACACACACGTCAACCTCTTACTCAAGAGTTTTTGTCTTGTTTCTAGTCCAAATATCTTAAATTTCTTAAATAAAGAAGTATTTTCTGGACAAGTACTAAATATTGTGTTGTTTTTAGAAATAATGGGTCAAAATAAAGCGAGTTTTTCCCTAAAACAAGCAAACTAATCTGCCAACAGGTTAAGCAATACACTCTTGCTTTTGGTTTGAAATATGACTATTGTACTTCTCCCATTGGTGCATTATTTTAAGGCTTGTTTTAAGGAAAAACTCACTTAATTTTGACTTTATTTCTGAAACGAAACAATATTTTGTATGTGTCTAGAAAATGCTTCTTGATTTAGGAATTTTTAGATATTTGGACTCAAAACAAGACAAAAAAATTAAGTAGGAATAATATTTTTTGTCATGCACTTGAAACGCCCTTCACAGCACATCGTGTATATTAAAACCCTTTATATTTTATAATCTATATAATCAACTTTGAATGGTATTTATATAATAGTGCATACATTTAAGTGATTAATGACATCAGTTTACCAAAAATAAATATATAGATAAAGCCATGAGATGTAGTGTATTACCGAATTGCTCCAGCTCCTGAGTTCTGCTAATGACGTTCAGGATTATTTGCGTCAGATTCTGTATTCTCACCTCTGTAGCTGAAAACTTCCTGTTAAATTTCACATCTAAAACAACACACAGATGCATTTGTGCAAAATAAATACACAGTGTTCATGTTTAGCCACCTTTCCCCCACACACCATGATGGTCCGTGTGAATATATGGAGAAAACAACTTCCATTAAACTGTAAACAATCAGCCTGGAAAACAGACAACATTCCCTGAGCATTTTTACTTATTTGTTATTTCCCTAATTTCTGTTTAACGGAGAGTAGATTTCTCAACACATTTCTAATCATAATAGTGTTGATAACTCATCTCTAATAACTGATTTGTTTTTATACTTCTATACAGATTAAAGTGACATTTAAAGGCTTCACTCGGGTATTTAGGGTAACTAGGCAGGTTAATGTAATTAGGCAAGTATTGTATAACAGTGGTTTGTTCTGTAGACTATTGAAAAATAAATAGCTTAAAGGGGCTAATAATATTGAGCTTAAAATGGTGTTTAAAAAATAAAAAACTGCATTTATTCTAGCCGAAATAAAACAAATAAGACTTTCTCCAGAAGAAAAAATATTATCAGACATACTGTGAACATTTCCTGAATCTGTTCAACATCATTTGGGAAATATTTAGAAAAGAATAGAAAATTCAAAGGGGGCTAATAATTCTGACTTCAACTGTACATGCAGCTTGTAAAGCATTATAATGAGTATATGACTTATTAAATTGCTTAATTTTGATTTTTAACACATTTTTATAATTTAATATTCATTTTGCATCAAACTGTGCAAGTCATGGAGAATGTTCATTTAAATACAGAAATGCATTGCTATTTTACATCTCACATTTTAAAAGGAGTGTTGCATCCGCACAGTGACAACATAGGAGCTGATCATTTGGCAGATAATGATGAACAATGAAAGCACACTATGTCTTGTGTAAATTATATGTTTTGGTGTGTGTGTGTGTGTGTGTTTTACTCACGGTTCACAGATACAGTGATGATCAGCAGGAGCAGCATCAGAGCCGCCACAGAACCGGCGATACCTGCGCACCACCGCCAGCGGCCGCCAGAGGGCACTGCAGCGAGTCTGCGCACTGACGGGTCTGCAACAGCAGGTTTAGAGTCACACATACTGATCACTCAGTTCACATTGTTATAAGCTGAAAACTGTGATTTTTTTGTCACGATTTACACTAAAATGACATGTAAAATGAGTTTAACATTATTTTTATATTTACATGTTTAACGAACGGCGGTTTATTCCTTGGTGGACACCGTGGAATAATAAAGGGACTAAGCCGAAAAGAAAATGAATGAATGAATGAATCACATGTATTCAATAGGATTACATTAAATACTCATTAACTGTAATCTGAAATCTATATTCTACATAAATCTATATCAGGGGTGCCCAAACTGTTTCTTATGAAGGGCCAAAATCCAAGCTTGATTGCAAGCTCTGGGCTGGAAGTAAATATGGCAAACTGTATTACCATATGGTAATTTCCTGATTTATTTCATAATATCTATAAATAAATAGAAAAAAATAGCTTCAACCATATTTACTAATGCATTCTATTTTACAATAGTTTTACTTGTTACAATAAAACCATTAAAAAACATCTAGAAAATCCGAACAGTGGCGAATACACTATGCTGAACCTGCCTTCGCCTTGATTTGCATGCTGATGTCTTCTGCTTTGTCCCCTATTCGTGACAGATTGTCAATTTTTTTCAGCTTTTTCGTAGCTCACAATAAAACAAACAAACACACAAAAGGTCACATTAAAATGGAAATGAGAATCTCTGTTAAAGGCATTGCCCAGCCCTTCCCAATCAACCCACATAGCAAAATTTCTCTGGCCCAGCTCTGGCCCACACAATCAGGTTTTGCTTGGCCCACATGCCGCAGTGAATTACAGTACATGACTGGACCAAATCTGGCTTCCAGAAAAGGGCCAAACACGGACCATATCTGAGCCAAGTCTCAGCCAAGTTAATAACTCATAACTGGGCCTGAACTGGGCCAGATAGGTTGGTGTGTCACGGTTGCAATGAAATTGATAAACCCATGGAGTGATGCGCTTTAGGCACACTATGGGCACGCTTTTTCTCAAAGTGACCTGATTGGTAGAATTTTTTTTTTCTTGACTCAAAAATGATTTTAGTGTATTTTAAATGTGGGTCAAGACTGGCCAAACTCACATGGCCCACTTATCAAATTTTTAAATCTGAGCCAAATACTACGTTTTTCATCTGGCCCAAATCTTGTGTGCCGCCTTAAAGACGGTGCCACCTCTGCCAAACCTGGGCCATGTTTGGCCCACATGCTGTATGCCAGTGCCGGATGAATGCCTGCTGTGCCAGCTTTTTGCCAAGTCTGGGCCAGAATTCTTTGCTACTAGGGAATGTCCTTCTGGTGGGCCAAATGAAAGCATACACAGGGCCAACTCTGGGCTCTAGTTTGGGCATCATTAATCAATATAATTCACCATTAACCTTTTTAAAAAATATTTTCTCACAATCACATTTAGTATAGTCAATTTTTCATTGATATAGATATATCCATATTCATCATACCCTTATTCATATAATTTATTTAAAACCTTTAGAAAATGTAATATTAAAGCAAAGACTTTTATTTAATGAGGACAGTAAAATGGGAGTCTTTGGTCCATATAAATGTAATTTTGGGGGGAATTTGATTAAAGTGATTTTAGACAGAATTTTACCAGCAAATGGAAATGCAAACATATATTTGTTGTTTGTTGATACTATTTTCATTTTATTTATTTATTTATTTATTTATTTATTCATTCATTCATTCATTCATTCATTCATTCATTTATTTATTGTATGACAACTGAGTGGTGTGGTGGCGCAGTGGGTAGCGATATTGCCTCACAGCAGGAAGGTCACTGGTCCCGGCTGGGTCATTTGGTGTTTCTGTGTGGAGTTTGCATGTTCTCCCCGCGTTGGCGTGGATTTCCTCCAGGTATTCCCTTTTCCCACACAGTCCAAACACAAGCGCTATAGGGAACTGATTAAGTAAATTGGCTGTAGTGTATGAGTGTGTGTGTGTGTGTGTATGTGTGTGTGTGTGTGTGTGTGTGTGTGTGTGTGTGTTTGTGTGTGTGTGTGTGTGAATATGAGTGTGTATGGGTGTTTCCTAGTGATGGGTTGCAACTGTAAGGACATCCTCTGCATAAAGCATATGCTGGAATAGTGGGTGGTTCGTTCTGCTGTGGAGACCCCTGAAAAACTGAAGGAAAATTTATGAATGACAACTTACACTTCTGAAACCTGGTTTCTGTTTCTTATTATGAACTGATGTTCTAGCAGTGCGCTGTGATATTTAATTCAGGATGCTTGTGTGTCAAACTGCCTGTTGCTAAGCTGTTGATAAAATGCTCTGATTGGGTATTTTTCCTTATTGCTTTTTGATTTGTAACTAGGGTGTTGCTGGATGTAAAACAAGTAAAGAAGTGTGTGTGTGTGTGTGTGTGTGTGTGTGTGTGTGTGTGTGTGTGTGTGTGTGTGTGTGTGTGTGTGTGTGTGTGTGTGTGTGTGTGTGTGTGTGTGTGTGTGTGTGTGTGTGTGTGTGTCTGTGTGTTAAAGGTTAAAGGTCAGAGGAGGTTGTGCAGCTGTATAAACGACAGTCAGTCAACAGGTAAAGGAATGTTTGAAAAGGAACACACACACATACACACTGCAAAAATGCTTTTCTCACTCAGATACTGTCTTGTTTATAGTCCAAATATCAAACAATTCTCAAATCAAGCAGCATTTTCCAGTCAAGCACACATTGTTGTATTGTTTGATAGATAATTGATTAAATTAGATGAGTTTTTCTTTAAAACAAGCAAAATAATCTGCCAGTGGGCTTAGTAAAATATATTATTAGTGTTTTATTTGCTCCATTGGCAGATTATTTGGCTTGTTTTAAGGAAAAACTCACTCATTATTTCTGAAAAAAGGCCAAGTTTTGTACTTGTCTAAATGCTTCTTGATTTAAGAATGTTTAGTTATTTGACACACACACACACCTCCTCTCCAGAACTCGGTGTGGTCACTGGTCTCTGCACTCTCCGTCTCGTCTGTGTATTCTGTGTTTGCCACAGTGACGGAGCCGCTGTCTGATGACACCACCCTCATGATGACCCAGCCTGGACCTGTGGATATAAACACAGCATGAGCCTGCGTTCACTCAATCTACTACAGCAGACATCATCAGAATACACACACAGCAGTGATTCTCCACAGCCAATCACAGAAGAGCCTGATCAACCAATCACAATTAAATGTCGCCAGCCAATCACAGATGAGCCTGCTTGACCAATCAGAGGTAAATGTCGCCAGCCAATCACAGAAGAGCCTGCTTGACCAATCAGAGGTAAATATCACCAGCCAATCACAGATGAGCCTGCTTGACCAATCAGAGGTAAATATCACCAGCCAATCACAGATGAGCCTGCTTGACCAATCAGAGTTAAATGTCGCCAGCCAATCACAGATGAGCCTGCTTGACCAATCAGAGTTAAATGTCGCCAGCCAATCACAAAAGAGCCTGTTTGACCAAACCAGTCCCAGCTCTCAAGCCAATACCAGAAGAGCCTGTTTTAACCAGTTAAATGTCTCCAGCCAATAACAAGGAGCCTGTTTAACCAATCACATTTGAATCTTTCTAGCCAATCACATGTGAATTTCTCTAACCAATCACTGAAGACCATGTTGGACCAGGTTGATCTCTTTAGCCACTTTAAACAATCACACGTGGATCTCTTCAACAAATTTCACCGGTTAATCTTTCTAGCCAAAAACAGAGGAACCTGTTTAACCAATCACAGGTGAATCTTTCTGGCTAATCACGGAAGAGCGTGCTTGACCAATCACAGGTAATTCTCTCCAAGGAGACTGGGGATTCTTTTGGGCAAATAACAGGTTAATCTTTTCAGCAAATTCCACCAATAACAGGTGAAACTTTCTAGCCAATCACAGAGGAGCCTGCCCAACCAATTACAGGAGAAGCTCTCCAGCCAGTCACAGAAAAGCCTATTTAACCAATCAAAGTAAAATTTCTCCAGCCAATCACTGAAGACCACGTTCAACCAGGTAAATTTCTTCAGCCAGTTTGGCCAGTCACAGGTAATTCTCTCCAGCAAATTCTTATAATCACGGGTGAATCTTTCAAGCCAATCACAGAGGAGGCTGTTCAACCAATCACATCTGAATCTGTCTAGTCAATCATAGAAGAGCATTTTCAACCAGTTATAGGTGAATCTCTCTAGCCAATCACAGATGATCCTGTTTAACCAATCACCATTGAATTTCTCCAGCCAATCACTGAAGACCCTGTGCTACTTGGTTAATTTCTTTAGTCAGTTTGGCCGATTCTCGCTCGCAAATTCCACTATTTATTTATTCGTTCATTCATCCATTTTCCTTCAGCTTAGTCTCTTTATTAATCTGGGGTCGCCACTGCGGAATAAACCGCCAACTATTCCAGCATATGTTTTACGCAGCGGATGCCCTTCCAGCCACAACCCAGTACTGGGAAACACCTATATGCTCTCATTCACACACACACACACACACACACACACACACACACACACACACACACACACACACACACATACACACACACACACACACACACACACACACACACACACACACACACACACACACTTATTCACTACAGCCAATTTAGTTCGTCAGTTCCCCTATAGCGCATGTGTTTAGACTGGAAACCGGAGCACCCAGAGGAAACCCACGCCAACACGGGGAGAACATGCAAACTCCACACAGAAACACCAACTGACCCAGCCGAGACTCAAACTAGCGACCTTCTTGTTGTGAGGCCACAGTGTTGATCACTGAGCCACCGTGACGCCCCAAATTCCACCAATCACAGGTACATTTCTCTGGTAATTTTCTAACTCCAAAACCTTATGGTGATCCTTGTTATTTTTTCAGTTAATAGCAAATATCAGCACATTCATAAAGTGAGAGATGTGTTCATCAGAATTGTGTTCAGTGATGTTGTTTCATCCTCTGTTTGCTGAATGATCTTGATGCACAACCAGTTCAGCAAACTTGAACTTTGATTCACAGCAGCAGATCGTGTGTGTGTGTGTGTGTGTGTGTGTGTGTGTGTGTGTGTGTGTGTGTGTGTGTACTTGTGTGTATGGACTTGTGAGATGAGAGATATTTAATAATGCACTCTACAGATTTAATGCAAACATAAATTCAAAATAACTGAGAAAAATATAATAATATATCAAATAATTCTGTATAAAAGCAGGCTGTAAAAGCTGAAAGACTTTCTCAAAATGTAGGAAAATGAGAAAAATCTTTAAGAAACCACCAAAACGAATGCCGCAGTGTAAAGCAAAGTTATTTTATCATCAAACTAAAATCTGTTTGCTTTCTCAATGTTTTTATAACTCTTTTATCCCAAAGCTAAAACATGATGCTGATCTGAAGCATTGAACGAAAATCCAAGATATTTTTTTTTATCAGAATTATTTCCAATCCTTTTAAATTGGATTATTTTAAATATTTATTCCATTCATTTTGATTTTATGTTGTCATTAAATCCAAACAACCACACAATAACTTAAGTTCACCTTAAACAGAGCTCACAATGCCGTAATATTAAACTAATAAGCATGATTGTGGATTAAAACAGTTTCATGTTTCTAGAGGCTGCATTCATGCTTCATTAATCTAGAGACGGATTAAACCTCTGATAATAAACAAACAAACAAACTAATCAGGATAGATCAGACACTGATTCACATTTCTGATGTTGTATTCATTATTAGGAATTAATGTATTATTAGTTATTATTAAAGATGCTTACAGATTGGAAAAATGGAGAAGCTGATGGTTCGCTTACGTCCCGCATGAGAGAGGAGATCTTGCTGTGTGTGTGTGTGTGTGTGTGTGTGTGTGAATCTGTACTTTGAGCTTGTGTTTGAATTGAAGCATATTTACTTTGTGTGCAGTAAACAAGTGCTGCCGTACACATCTGTGTGTGTGTGTGGGTGTGTGTTGGTTAGTAAACGGGGTGATCTTGTGAGGTGCAAAATCGCTGATTAAACAGTGAACTTAATGGATGTTTTGTTTGGTTACTGTAAGATTGATTCCGGTTTCTGTTCAACTCATTTTATGTCTTTATTTTTTGTTGTTGTTTTGGCTCAGCGGTTAGCAATTTAGCCTCACAGCAAGAAGGTCGCTGGTTCGAGTCCAGGCTGGGTCAGTTGGTGTTTCTGTGTGGAGTTTGCATGTTCTCCCTGTGTTCGCATGGGTTTCTTCCAGGTGCTCCGGTTTCCCCCACAGTCCAAACACATGCGGGGACATAGGGGGATTGGGTAGGCTAAATTGTTTGTGGAGTATGAGTGTGTATGGGTGTTTCCTATTGATGGATTGCAGCTGGAAGGGCATCCTTCTGAAGGGCATCCTTCATGGTCTGAGCTTGAGGTGAAGAACAGCAAATGTGGTGTTTTATGAGCGCTGATCCGGCGGCAACAGGTGGTACAGAGTCAAATATGAGCGTCCTCCTGTGTTTACAATCTCAGGAAATGCAATCAGAATTTATGCCAGACATGAAACTTATAGGGGCGAGGCAGTGGCGCAGTAGGTAGTGCTGTCGCCTCACAGCAAGAAGGTCGCTGGTTCGAGTCTCGGCTCAGTTGGTGTTTCTGTGTGGAGTTTGCATGTTCTCCCTGCCTTCGCGTGGGTTTCCTCCGGGTGCTCCGGTTTCCCCCACAGTCCAAAGACATGCGGTACAGGTGAATTGGGTAGGCTAAATTGTCCGTAGTGTATAAGTGTGTTGATGTTTCCCAGAGATGGGTTGCGGCTGGAAGGGCATCCGCTGCGTAAAAACATGCTGGATAAGTTGGCGGTTCATTCCGCTGTGGCGACCCCGGATTAATAAAGGGACTAAGCCGACAAGAAAATGAATGAATGAATAAAACTTGGAGCACCCGGAGGAAACCCATGCAAACTCAAATGCCTACTAACCTTGAACGAGCGCCCGTTTTTAAATTTCCTGACGTTAAAATAGGATCCAAATCCTTCCCATTTCCCCCCCAACTTTATTTATAGAAATTTTAGGAAATTTACAAATATCACACATTTTAAAATATGACTGTACATTTTGACTAAGAAAGAGAGAGAAGTAATCAAGGATCTAAGTGATTATGACAATTATTGACCCCAGATATATATATAATAAAACAACAACAACAGAAAAATAAAATAAAATACCAACCAACCAGAACAATTGTTTACACACCAAACTAAAAGCCTGGTCACATGAGATGTCACGCAGCAGGGAAAAATGTTAAAATTAACTATCATCCAGTGTGCAGGGAGTATACTTTCCATATGGTCAAGGAGAGAGCCCCAATTTTTATAAAAGTTTTTGGAAGAACCCTTCAGACAGTGTCTAATTTGTTCCAGTTTTATGAAGAGGAATAAGTCATTAATCCACATGGAGTGAGTAGGTGGAGCAGATGACTTCCAGTGTAGTAGAATACGGCGTCTGGCCAGGAGGGACACAAAACCCACAAAATCTGCTTCTGTATCTGGGCAAACGTAAAGTATGCAGCTGAAGGAGAACCAAGTTTCTTGATATTCAGAAAGAAAACCAGCTAGATACAGTGACTGTTGGGGTTTGTAGTGCGCTCAGACTGGCCAGACCTGAATGACTAGTATAGCAGCAATAACATACAGCTGAGCTAGAGTAATATGAGCGGACAGCAGGTGAAAGTCAGCGATGAGGCGATCATGAACACTGGTAAAATACATGTTGAAGCAACTCTATATAATGACGGAGTAAAGAAGGAGCTGAAGGGCAGGACGTGCAGGTATGAGATTCTCCACCAGCACTTTCACACACAGCAGTGCAGTTACTGGACTAATGTCGAGTTTAGACTGCAGGATTTTCAAAGTAGTCATATCATGGATGTTTTCACACTGCTTGACTCTCTGGTAGCATTCCGTCAGTGCTGTGTTTACACTGTAAGATGGATCGGCGCAAGGGGGGTAACACTGCATGACTTTACAATAGGAAGAATTGCCAGCAACTTTGTCTCAGTCTGAAAAATATGTCTCACAATCAAACACACGGGAGAAGTGATTATTTTTTCTCAACTGGCCTTTGAAGGGAATTAGCAATTTCTCCTACACTTATTTTATTTTTCAACCTGGTTGTGGTTTTGCTCAGATGAAACAAGTCAAACATACATGCGGGTGCTCCTGCCAAATTTACACTAGTTTTTCCTCCATTTCTTGGGTCCAAATAAACTGAGAAGAAGCCCTTTTAACTTCTCCTCCATCCTACCGCTGGCCTGCAGATACCCACACTAGTGGATGCTGCTCTCTCATTGGCTGCAGGCGATCGCTGATGATATTTTCAATCAGAACTCATTTCACACGGCATAATTTTGAGTCACTGACAGCTTCAGATATTGACTGACAGGCCAAATATCTGACGGGTGGTGTAAAAAGTACTGAAATATCATACTCAAGTAAAAGTACCATTACTTGCCTAAAAATGTAGTGTGAGTAGAATAAAAGTATCGGCTGTAAATATTACTCAAAGTAGGAGTAAAAAGTAGCCCTTTTTAAAGTACTCATGAATAGTGAGTAGTGAGTATTACGCTGTAAAAAGCCGATGCGTTTACATGTAATTTGTGGATGTGTGTGTAAACGTAACATTCTGTAGTGCATTAGTTATTGCCCAGCAGACACACAACGTCATTGGACGTTAATATTAGGTTAGATTTAGGTTGTGATGTCAAGTAACCAAAATTCAATGTCTAGCCAGCGTCTAAGGACAACGTTATTTTGATGTCCAATAACAACGTTAAATGACGTTGATATTTGGTTAATTTTAGGTTTTGTTAGAAAGTGACGAAAATCCAACATTGAGCCAACATCTTAAACCAACATCATATTGACGTCACATACTCATATTTATTCATCAGGTATTGCACCCAAAATCCAACATCTGATAGACGTCATAGTGGTAACGTTTGCACAACTTCAAACTGTGACATCATTAGACCTTGATATTTGGTTGGTTTTCGGTTGGACATTGATGTTGGTCTGACTTTGAGTTCTGACGTAAACCCGATTTTCATTTAAATTTAATTCACCTTGATTTGCATAGCACTTTTATAATGTAAATTGTGTCAAAGCAGCTTTATATAGAAGATCAAAGTAAATACCAAACAAAATGCAACGTCCCTACGACATTGGGGTACAACGTCAATCTGACATCGTGTTGATGTCTTGTGCTTGCCGGGTGTTTAGGGCTATTTCGGTCTCCATACAGTAAACAACTGTCATCTTCTCATCAGTGACATCATCTAAACAGTCTCTGGGTCAACGCGTGTAAAGATTCTGAACATCTTCTTGGACACTTTTAATGCTTCCAAACAGTTTGCTGCATTTATAATGTCTTGAGGTAGTTCATTATGAGGTGGTTTACCTTCTATGTGTGATTTGATCGGACGGGAATTACAGGACTGATTTTTCTAATCCCCATAGAAAAAATAAAGTAGTGACTGCAGGATGAAGGAAAGTAGAGGAGTACAGATACTGCACTAAACATTTACTCAAGTTAGAGTAAAAGTAGACATCTTTAAAACTACTCAGTAAATTACAATTCTTGAGAAAAAGTAACTAATTACCGTAATTTGAGTATTTGTAATTAGTTACTTTACACCACTGCTGACGGGTATCAGCGACTTATCGTCTTTGATAGTTCACACTGTGTGATTGTTACTCACGTGAACAAGCACCGCTTTACTTTTGATTTCAAGCATTTGTCAATGATTTCTCAAAACCTGTCGGCGAGTCAAAATCAGGGCTACAATCATGCAGTCTGAACTCAGCATAAGCTGTGGCTCCAGGGCAAACTGGACTGCCTGCAGAACGCGGATCACACACACTGCATTTCACAACCCCGCTATTGATCACACCATTATCAAATTCGTCATCAGAGCTCGTTTACAAACACTACCTACAAAGTATGATTTGTCCGTGTGGTAGACGATTTCGAAACACTGTGAGCCGTTCTGTTTACTGCATAGTGAGAGAACAGCGGAATCAACAGCACATATTAAGAACAGCTGTCCTGTTTTTAAAGGTGCTGTATGTAGGTTTTGACTCTTCTAAAGCATGTTGTATCTGAAAAATGCTCTGATTGCCTGTCTTTGTTTTGATCATTGAACCCGCCCAATGCCAGTTTAGCCAATTATATTTCAGCACCTGGGTTGCCAGATGGTGGAAAACAGCGTATTCATTCATTCATTCAGTCAGTCAGTCAGAAAGGCTCTTAAAGTGTGTATCTGTGACTGAAATGTGACCTCTGGTCGACATGAGCAGACTCCAAAATGAGCCGCAGATTCAGAGTTCCACATGAGGTTATTAATAAGCAAATAATAAAATATTACAAGCATAAACATTAGGTGAGCAGGTCACATTGTAACCCTGTGTGCTAACAACTTGCTATGTGACGAGATATACCGTGATGAGCGATTTAGCTGTTTGCACCAGACAAAACACGATAATTGGTAGTGCTGTCGCCTCACAGCAAGAAGGTCGCTGGTTCGAGAAGTTATGTCAGTTGGCATTTCTGTGTGGAGTTTGCATGTTCTCCACGCACTCACGTGGGTTTCCTCCGAGTGCTCTGGTTTCCCCAACCCAGGCTCATTCTGAAAACGTAGTCTCGTGGACGTTTCTGGAGACCGCGAAATATGTCCTCGGAGGTAAGTATTTGTGCAGTTTTTGTTTTGGCGAATCCGCGTACATGCTTTTTCGCATCTTAAATGTCTTTCGCGAGTGTCGTTCGCGCCCGCGTTGTTCTCGCGTAAACCCACAAACTGCTGTCGAACGACCGTCTTTCTGACTGGCTGAATGATTGACTCCTCCTCCTTCCCT